CCCTGTGATGCACGCGAATGCGTGCGCAGCTAAACTGGTTATGTTATAACGCTGTTATTCTGCCAACGAGGTTGTTAGGTGGAACATTTATTAGTGGCCTGACGTTTCGACGAGGTCGTCTTCCTCGAAGGCCAGAACATGGCTCAAGATTTTTGATTTGTTCTCTAAACCGCCAAACGCCTCCTCTTCCTAGCGTTTCTGACGGAACGTTAGGGGGAACAAGCGAAAACCCCCGAACGAGGGATAGAATTTCTGCGAGATCAAAGTTGGAATCTTCTGATTATGAAATACAGGATTTTGATCTCGCAGAAATGCGCACTTCCTTTTTACGAAGGGGTTATCTTTTCGAAATTGTGGTGCAGAGTAGTCCGAAGATTGTGAACTCTAGATTGTTTCCTCTTTAAAAAATACACCAACTCTTGCGAGTACATATGTTCAGGAAATGTCTCATTGGTCCGTTTCTTGTGCACATGCGAGTTTTCAGACTTGAGCTTCTGCGATTTTTGATATCTACCTTTTTGCTTCAATTCGCTTGAAATACGAGATCAGCTCTTCATAATGAATACTAAAACTGTTTTCCACGCTATCGGGTCCCAAAGTGACCTCCTCATTGGTCCGGTTTTTTCTCCTCGAGTTGTTTGGGGTATTTTCCTGAAAGTGCGAGTTTTCACTATTCAAGAGGGCAACTTCTTCAAATTTGACTCTGTATATAAGTTCTTCTAGGCTCTCTAGGTGAAGAATAAATTCGCCCGATCGGTTGCTTTTACCCTCACTTGATTTTGGTCTGAAAGCATCGGATTATGTGTGGAGCGATATTTGTGCCTGTGAGCTATTGAATGTGGATCGATTTACTGTAATACTTCTAGTCTGGAATGCGCCATGCAGTCTTTTGTAGTTAGGAGTTGAAGAGGCACTTGAAATGAACATACGTCGCGATAGCGAACATGATTCTAGTCGTGAAGCTGTAGTCTAAGCTCAGAGCAGCGGCTTCAATTGCATCTATCTAACATTTCTTCATTTCCTTTGCGGTTTCGTTTACTAATTAAGTCCATGATAGCGTTAAGCATTCCCTGCGCACCCACAGCCGTGAAGATGTCCTTGCGTTGCGACGTTGATCCGTGGTTATAGGACCCCCTCCCCTCCTGTCAGCCAAATGCGACCCGCTTTTGACCTTTGACTGACAGACGGTTGCCCTGCCCCCTCCTCCCTTCCCCCACTCCCACGTTCTCTAGGGCTAAGTACAGCCCAACCTGCGTCGAAGTGGGAAGTGATACTTTGATTAGTATGAGAAATGCTTACCATAGCTCGAATTAACTTACATTTTTGTCGACTATACAAGCTTTTTTTCACGTCCCACAGTTCTCTGTAATCTATGCCCTTCTCTCTGAACATGATTTTGACCACTGGACTCACCCTTTTTGGGACCTAGATAAGAGAAGAGATCAAGGTCAAGGGTTGTAGAATGTGAACAGAAAAGCTGTTCTCCGAAAATGTCAACTCTCTATCCCATGCAGTCTCAGTTTTATTTCTGATTCTGCAAAAATTTGTTTTTTTTGCTCGTTCAGACTTGCTCAAGGCTCAAGGGATAATAATATTTTTCAAGAGAAGTCCATACCTACAACCGTTACACTTGCTTTACCGCGGAATAGGGAGGGGGCGGGGATAGGGGCTTGAAGGAGGAGGTCAGTTGATCCCTCATCGTCAGACCTTTCTGCGGTATCAGACTTGACTTGCAAATGAAGGAAACTTACTCAAAGGTTGGGTAATCACGGGAAATGATTGCTTTGGCAGAAGCCACTTTCGGGCCTCTACAATGCTGAGTGAAAGTCGATTGTGGGGCTACGGGAGCTTGAATGCCGTTTCTACTCACCACCATAGATGTAATGCGTGATTTTAAACAGTTCTGTTGAAACGGGAGAACTTACGAAATTTTAGAGATATGGGCGCTGGCTGAAGGTCTGGAACATGATGTAGAAATTTGGCTTGAATTTTGCCTTGAATATTTTTTGTCCTAACTCGTATTCTTTCTAAGCACTTGAAAAACTCCAAATGCGGAGAGGACCGAACGCATGGCGCATCTTCAATGAAGAGTAAACTGCAGTTTTTAAGTCCAGTATAGTTGATCTTATTTGAGCGCGCCTGAGGCTATTCACCTCCTTATCTTTTGAATGTTTTTTTTTCGATCGCGAGATTTTAAGGGAAATATTATCAAAGGAAAGCAATGATATGAAAGTTTCGGTAGCGTTCCTTCTACTCTACATGTTTCAACAATGGAAGGAAATCCTGTGTGCTATGTCATCGCAAGAGCCCGTGAGAGATACGGCGCTCTGGAGGGCGCGGTTATTTAGACGATCGCTCGCTGGTGTCGGCCAGGTTGTCCGAAAGAAGGCGTGGGGGGCGACTCACAGGTCCATAGTGACCTTGATTCCCCCGGGAAGGTCTGAGACAAGGTCCCGTTCCCATCGGGTGGAACGGTGGGTCTGAGAAGGACCCCGTTCGTGAGAACGGGAGGCTGTAACAGAAACACACCCTGCGGGGTTTGAACACAGCCTCGACCGGCAAAATACCTGAGTGCGATCGCCAACTTAACACAATTCAGACTAGTCTTCGGAAAACCTACTTTTAAGGCTTGGCTTCTGGGTAGGTCTGCCACCCTTTAGCTCGGCAATAGCTCTTGATCTGCTCAGCGTGGCTCAGTATCCATAGTTTGCGCCATGCATTCGGCTTCCATAGGGATTCACAGAGCTTTTAAGGGTGTGTATTGCAGTGAATAAATTGCGGGTGCCAATGTCCGAAGCAATATTTCGATTTTATCGGACAGGTCAGGCATGAGCGAGCCAAGCGTAGACTCATGGAAAGACGGTTCTTGCTAGATTCGATCGCGGGGATACTGTAGTGAGAATGTGGTCCTTCAATTACTGCGCCACCCGTGCACCTTCCCAGAACCTTATCTTAGGAATTTCTGAAGTGGGCCATAGAATGGTCTATGAACCAGTACTTTTAAAAAATTGCGTAGGCAATATATCGCATGATCGATTTGTTGTTTCAGTGATTGTTGCAAATGAGAATCCATTCTGGACAATTGTTACCTCGTTTAATGCAGTTGAACTTAAACAAGCAATGAACAAGATGGAACGATTCGTAAGACCGTTTATGGTAAGCTGCCAGCAATTCTTTACCCTAATTTTTTTCTAAATTCTCGGAGAACCGCTCGTAAATAGATTTTTGACCACATTCTTCAAGACCTCCTTAATAGTTTTGGTGGTATTAGTAGATAGTATCAAAGTCCGAGATTCCCCTTACTTTGTTTACCGTTTGCTTTTTTGAGCAACTTCGAGATTATTTGCTCGAATGTTTATCTCACCCAGATCTCTCCTAATGTCTCACTTAACTATTAGCTTGAAAATTTTCTAGCTCTGCAAAGAAATGCTCTTTTCAAAGGTTTTACTGAAGGTCTCCTGTTTATTTGTTTTTTCCAACTATGAGCAAGCGCTACATTTTTTCAAAGAAAAATGTTCCAGTTCATCATGCCTGAAATGTTAGCGGAATGCGTGCTTATTAATCGTCCAATCAATGAACTGCACGCTGTTCTGCTAGCAAAACTTCATCAACTTGCTGAAATGAGGGTATGTTTTGTGCTGATTGTAGCTCTGAATATTTATTTTGGATGGCATTTGTAATTTTCTTCCCTCTAGTAAATTGCGTGTTACTCATGAAGTGAGAGGTGAGTATAAAAAATGGAACTTAACCCGTCTCACTAACGATAAGAGATCTGGGGTACTTGAACTTCCGATACTGGGGTACGGTTTTCAGGATTGGCTTACCGTGATTGGATCGAAAAAGTGTCTGAAAAGGACTACAGCAGCGAGCTCTCTCTCACTTCATAGTGCGTTTTCGAAAAGAATCATGTCCTGATTAGGACATATTGTGGATCATAAGCAATGAAGGTGACCGGTGTCATATGCACACTGAAGGGTGGAAAATGTAGCTCGATGGTGGTCAACGTTTTACCGCACGTTTATATTCTATTCGGAGTCGTAGTGGCATATGAATACGTTTTTGACCCATAAATCCTTTGCGCAGACCAGCCATGGATAGCTTAATGGCACGCTCTTAAATCAGGTTGTTGGGGTAAGAGCCCTAGATAATGAAGTGAAGTGGGAGGGAGACCACCATTTTAGGAAAAAAGGAACAGTAACCATCGAAAACACAGAAAATACATAGATCCTTGTTCTGCTAAGTGAAGGAGAGAAATGTGAAGGAGATAAATGGCAGAGAACGAGGTGGGAGGTAATGAGCGCCGGGGAGAGAAGGAAATTTTCCGGGACAAGAGCGTATACCGATCAGCAATCAGATTGGATAAATGAGATGCTTTCATGGTGGGAGGACGAAGCGCTAGTAAGGCGAACCCACCAGCGTTTGGCTGCCATGGATAATAACGTCGTTTCTGGAGCATCTTCAGCCACGACGGCGGCTTGTCTATCATCACCCACGGCCTCTGCTGCTTACAGCGCGTTCGCAAGGCTTCGCTCACCCGATCCTGGGTTGCTCCTTTGATTGACCTGGGGTTTCCATGAAGGACTCGATTCTCTAACCGGGGGTGTGACAATAAGAGTTCTACGCCACCCTGTCTTGAGAAGCTTATCTTGGACAAAATTTTCTGTTACCGTACCACGTTTTTGAGAAATCTGGTTAGTGAAAAATGTACTGTGAATGTTCAAGGTTAACCAAAAGAGTTAGTGTTTGCCGAGGAGTTCTTTTTGGTATGAAAGCTTATTCTTCATATTTATTCTTACCTGCTTCCAGAATCGGACCGAATGGGACGCCCAATGCGGCATCTACTGGATCGAGTTTGGCCCGCCAGTCCAGAATAACCAGATCGTTATGTTAACAGAGGTACCTCTTTCCATGATCTTGCCTCGTTATGACTTCCTCGTGCTTTGGTGATCTTTCTGAACCTTGATCCTGTCCAACTCCACGCTCCATAGTTCTCTTTTGTTGCTTTTGTATAGCTGCCATTTTGTGACAACAGGCCGGTTCACAGTGCTTCTTCAGAACTCATTTATAGAACAACTGCATCATTCAACATGATCTTGATAGGATTATTCAGGCCGTCAAAGTGCAAGCGCAGTGCTATTCTTCGAGAGCTCTATCTCATGAAGAGCCTGATGCAGTCGAAGACGAGCGCCAGTTGAGATCCCTCAAAAAGCTGTTCAAGATGAATGCAGAGACGGATTCATTGAAGATACAAGGAGGAGTGGCTTTTGCAGCTCAGGTATACAGTACCAATTCTCTATGAGTGGAGCCACCATACCAGCAGTACGGTTAAACAAATGAAGCGCAGAAATTTTCTTGCTTTCTTTTACCTCCACTGTCCAAGAAAATTTATTTATTTGCTAATATAGCAAACTTATGGCATTCTGCTCTTTATGGTTTTCACAACCACAAGTTATTCATTTGATAGCGTACCCGTGATCTAGACTAGAATTTGGGTTGGCGCCCACGGGATGGTGCCAAATCGCGCTAGATGTCGGAATCAGGTGTCATATTCATCGTTCAGGGCCGCTTTGAAGCTTACAAGCGGCCGCCAACCTTGATTGCAAAATTTAGTCTCCGCGAGGGATCGATCCATCAACAGTACTTTTTGTGCTTCTTTTTTGGTAATGGAAACGTTCAGCGAAAGTGAAACATGGTTTTGTGGTCCATGCAAAATGCAAGAAACCGTTCCCAAAAAGGGC